TTTATTTATTTATTTATTTATTTATTTATATATCATAATAAATTATATAATTCACTTATTTATATTATTTCAGCGACGCATTGTACCAAGACATACTTGACAGCGTTGTAATAACTCTAGAAATATTCTCTGATGTAAATCGAATCAATGTTCCCAACCAATGAATACGTACCAAGTTATCTGTTAATTTGTCACCAAAACTAAGTAAGTCCTGAAACAACTCCTCATACTCGAAAATTTATATTGAAGAAAAATGTATTTGAATGCTATAAAATCATTCGATTTATTTGATCAATTTCTTAAGGAGTTCAAAATAAAACTTGCATTGATATGGGACTCCGTAAGCATATGAGCAGACGATGATAAGCGTTTCATATTCCGCAAAATGGTAATACTAAGGGTTCGATTTTCCTTCGACACTTTTAGTTTTTCTATTAATAAAGTTAGCTGAAAAGATCAAAACTTTAAATAGAATCTAATTCTAACCAAAATACTTTGATGAACACTTAAAAATATCGCAATTTGCTCTAGCGAATACAATGATAAAATGACCATTTCAGAAACAGCAAATCTACAAGAGGCGGCCAATGTAGTAAGTGATTTTATCATAGCTAACATCAGCTGCTCGTTATAAGCTTCGTTAAGTATCCGCCTTCCCAGTGCAAAAACCTTCATTATAGTTTCTACATCAGCACGCATGTTAGCAAATACATGAACCAATGCAACCTTCATACATGGTGAAACAAATGGAGAAAAAAACGTAACAGACAGCTTTTCAAAAATAATTTGCGAGAAAAATCTGAAAAATTATAAGTATGCGAAAAAAATCTTTCTGAATTATTGAAATCTCCGATTTCGTAAACGTGAAGTAAAACTGCGCTTTTTTAAAGCATATATAGGTGTATAAAAAAACCTGGACACGCCAACGTATGCTTCCGTAGCGACAATAGCTGATAGACGTTCTTGCTCTTCTTCTGAATCAATGCTCATCACTATCAAGTGATGAACCTGGAATACACACGAGTATAAAATTAAACTATGATGACATACGTTCTTGACTGTTTTTTTAGCAATCTTGCCTGCTTGTTTTCTGCCATAATAGAAGCTAATTTGGCAAGTAACTGCAGCGTAAGAGAACGAGCCCATGGATCATTAGAATGTGATACTTTAAGAATACGCCTTGCCACTTCATCGTTAGAGAAAACAAGTCTAAGTTCAGTAGAACACTCATCCATTACTCGAACAACGCACGAACGTAACTCATTACATCTGAACCGAGCATAATTATATGAATCCATCACCAATTATTTTTAGTTAACTTCTGACTTCAAAAAAACGAGAAAAAAAGATTGCTCTAATGATATGAGTATGGTAAGAGATAGACTGGTGCAAGCATAACTGAAAATATGCCACTGATTTTCAAAAAACCGACTCACTCATCGCGAAATACTTCACATAGACGAAGTACAGCTGCATTAACAAAAAAAGGGAATGGATTTTCTCGCAAAAATGTAGTCGAGTTAACAATGGTTGCCATCTTTTCATATAGAGTACGTGATCTCAGGCCTTAAAAGAGATTACTTTCGTGATCACAGCCAAAAATTATTGAGATTTAAGGACAGTAGATGCTAAAAACTTTACCTTTCTCGAGATTATTTAGCGCGACATGACTTCTTGTAGAAGCATCCATAATACAAATTTATATTTGTATTGTGACCAGGCCTACAAAATATGGGAAATTCAATAAGTTCGAAAAGTCAACAAATTCAATTGGTTTCTAAGTAATATGAACGATCATAAAATATGAATGAACATATTTGAAAAAGGTTTTCACACATGAGCAAACATTTAATTCCTTAGCAGCAATAAATATTTTCGATTTTCAGTCAAACTTATTAAACTGGTAAATTTACGAGAAATTTCGGAGAATGATGAAACAAATTATTCAGGAAAAAAGACACTTAAAAAGACTAATCATACAAGTAAAGTAAACCAAAACTAAAGCCGTTGAAGAGAATAGCTAAATCATAATCAAACACACAAAATGAATCTAGTCTTTATAAACCAAAAAAACATAAGCCGTAACTGAACAAGGCTTCCGCAATTTATGCGCCAAATTATTGCACTGTACACAAAAAAATATACATGTAATCAAAACATCTAAATCCATACGTAAACAGATAATTTGAAGTCATATGAACGACAAAGCAACACAATCTGAGCAAAACAACTAAATAACCACATTTTTTAATGAAAAAATTATAAAAACCTTAATTAATAACACTCACAGCTGAATTGCTAAAACGATATTATAGAAACATTTCAACTATGATTTCAAACAGGAAGCGAATAACTGCGAGAAAAGCTTCTCTGAACCAACTCAAATCCACGTCTTCGTGTATCGAATATATTATGTCTGGTTCAATATCGATAGGACCGACATACTTAGAGTTTGTTTTCTCGAGCATGACGAATAATATTCGATAATTAGTTGCAGCATTTGAAGGATGTCCATAAACCTGAAGATAATTTTATAAATGTTAATAGCCCTATAAACTCTTTAATGGATGATAAAATTTACTGCACATCTTAAGAACGCTTCAAATAGAAAAACTTACACCAACATAGACGGGTCTCTGCATTATTTGTGGTACATCTACGACGTCTACACCGCATGTGGTTGACAGCATTTCATATTCATCGAGATCATATCCAGGATGCTTCTGCAATAAACTAAATGAAACTTGTTTTAAAATACTGTGACTGAATATTGTAGACACTTTGAACGCTAATTTTTTTACCGATGAGTAAAACTACTATACGGGAATGCTCAATTTTAACACTCCTGAAAATTTAAGAACTTCATTTAATTCGTAATTTAACTCTATTCAATGTATTCATGAGTACATTTTCGACTAGTTAATAAAACTTTTACCTTCGTGGAAGAAAGATAGAGATCAGCGTCACCAGTGGTAGAAACAAGAATGACCCGAATCGGGCCTGCCCACCTTAATTCAAAATAAGACCAATTTCCAGCACTTAGATACTTCTCAATAAAATAAAGATACACTTTCTGCTTATTTATCACAGCTTCTCTAATTCGCATTTCCTTTTCATCCAAGCCAATGACGAAACAACACATAAGCACGATTGTGAGCAAGCATCCAGACCACTGTTTCATTACTCATTGATCTTATAGAATATGCGCAGTAATTCAACCCTAAGAAACAAATTCTGTAACTCCAAACTATAACTTTCATGTCATGAAAGTACGGACAAAACTAAACGTACAATAATAACCACTCATAGTCTCACGACTATTCTTCCTCATCAAGGTTACAATGAATACTCTGTCACACTATTGTGAAGTCTTAATTAAAATAACTTGCTAATTTTTTTTCTTTCTCAACAGACTGCTTGAATTTAACAGTATCGTGTTACTACAACGTGAAAAAAAATTAATAATATGAATTTTTCCACATCCATATTAATTTATGGGATTTTTTCTTCGAATTATTATGTTAATATGCATCACACAAAACATTAAAATGCAAGATATTGTTTGGTTTATGTATTACAAATTTTACAAAAGACATATTCACCACTTTCAATAAAGTAAAAAGAAGGTTTATAGCATATGTGCAAGAAAATACGGATCAACAGATCACAAAGAACGAGCCCCTGATCATATCCGAACACAATGTCAGAAGGCATGAATTACGAGATCTCATGATCAAAATGAAGAGATAAAAATATAAATGCAAATCAAAGTAAACTTGACACTTAGTTTTTGTCAAGAGCTCAGTATCTCTCAAATTCAATATATTCATAGATATGACATACAGCGTTCGCTTTATTTTAACTTGGAAAATGAGCAAAAAAAAAAAAAAA